GTTCCGCCCATCATATCTTACTTTTATTGGCAATGAGGCTAAGGAAACACGGGGTTTATACCATTTCACCCCTCTTGGAATGACGCGTAATTTCTGGAAAGGATCGATTACGGTCTTTTCATTACGATGTTAAAATTGATCGGATTTATAACTCTATATTTTGATAATAAAACACGGACTATAATTCTGATATTAAACTGCCGCGGTGAAACGCACCTGTGCCTGATGTGAATATTAAAGGAGTGGTATTAAATTACAGAAGAAAATAAGAATGAAAGAAAGACAATACTTTTATTCAGTTTACACACGATGATAACTCTTTTGCTATGAAATTTAATATTAGTTACAAGAGAGTCGGATGAAAAAAAATTGTTTATTCAATCTTTAAGGTTGTCTGAAAGAGACAGTGATAATGTCGCCCGTGATCTTCTCAGTGTTACCACTTTTTTTTTTATTTTACTAAGATTACTACTATAATCTTTTGAGAGAACAATAAAGGGTTTCTATTTATCTAAACGAAAACAAAGAAGAGGAAGTAGTGGGCTCTATTACATACCCTGTCAGGTCGACCTCCACGCAGTCACACTAGAAACCATCGTGTTTAATTTTAGGTGTATTCGTCATGATGGGCCAACAAACTCGATTCTTAATCTACCATCATATCGTCATTCATTGGTCTCGCTTCGACCATATTTTCATCTCATAAAAAAGCTACTGTATTTTTATTTCTTATCTCTAACCCTCTCTATTTCTTTCCCTAACGGCATTCCATCTTCATCTACTAAAAAAACTTGTTTATTGATAAAAAACTCTCCTCCTCTCCTACTTCCCTTTATTTATAAAGAGCATTTCCGAGAATTGATTTTATCGACTATATAATATTATTTATAATATTGCATAAATGAAGTCTCGGGTTCGAACACTGCTCGGAGCAATGTTTTTGAACGATCTTTCCGGTATTGGCTTGGGTCTGAGCGTTTTGGGTTGTGTCTCACACGCACAGAGTGTCACACATCGCCCGGTCCTCAAGCCTTAGCTTGATTTCTTTGGTTATTTTTTTTTTATAACACATGAGGCAAACGAGCATGCGGCTCACCTGAGAGTGACTACCGACACCCATGATCACCAGAAGCATTGCAGGTGTGCTGCCGGCCTTTTAAAAAGGAATATATGTATGACCCATATAATTATTACGTATTTAATAAATCCATTAGATTAAGTAATTTTCCATTTCTTTGTAATTTTTGGACTAGATTTGTCATATTTCCTTGTATATATATATGTATATGAATATATATATATATATATATATATATATATATATATGTATTTGATATTTTTGTGCATTACATGTTTTTGTATTTTATGCACGAAAATTATTAATACACTCTTGCGCCACCTGCCCTTTTCTATCTGTTTTCCTTTAACTAAAGGTTGTCTGTAAGAGATTGCCCTATAAGACCGCCTTTTGTACCTTTATGTGTATATTTCAATCTGTATTTATGTTACTGTATTTCACTTGAATTATTCACTTGTCATTGTATATTTTTATTTATGGTGCAATAAAGAAGTAAATAAATAAATAATATCTACATAATAAGCTACCACAATTAATTAATTAATTACTTAAGGTCCAAAGATTAAGTACTTAAAACTACATTGATTTTAATAAATTATCAGTAGGCAATAATGAAACTACAAAGAAAACTCATCCGTTAGCAATTTCGTGAAAGCAATTACGAAACCCCTGTAATTCTAATCAAAAATTCTAATTGTCTGAATAAATCAAGCTGTGTGCTTTAAATTAATATTAAACTGGGCGATGGAGGAGATTTTATAATAAAATATTGTATTAATGTTCGGCGAGACGAGACAAAAACGTCTAAATGCAAGTTCTGACACTTTATGGCATTAATTATTTTATACCTACTTATTTAAGGGGGAAGGGATTGTTAGCAATGTAGACTTTTTTTTATGATTTGATAATGGAATGGTAACCCCACCCGCGCTATCGGTATACACCGGCGGGGCACCAGTGAAGGATGATAGGTGAGGATGAAACAGGTCAGTTAGCCCATCGTGACGAATTCAACAAGAATTGGTTTCCGGGGAAACCACGTGGAGGTCGACTTAATAGGGCATATTGCTAGCAATTGGGCTGTCAAACTCCATTGCTAACAATCCCTTTCCCCCAGCAATGTAGACTACCAGCCCTATTGCTAGCAATATACCCCGTTAGGTCGAACTCCACGTGGTCCCCCTGGAAACCATCATGATGAATATCAGGTGTATTCATCACGATAGGCTAAATGACCTGCCTTTTCATTAGTGTCCCGCCAGCGTATACCGTTAGCGCAGGCGGAGCTACTATTTCATTATCATCCACTGAAAAAGTCTTTTTTTACTTTACTTTTTTATTTGTTGTTACGGTTTATAAGAAATAAAAATTAAGGTAGTTTGTGTGAAATATACTCGTTTATTTAACTAGGATTCCTTAAAGTGAACTCCTCAGGGGTCCACACCATGTGCATCAGGGGTTCGCAGTACTAGTAGGTCAGTTAACTATAAAAATATTTATTAGAGAGTTATATAGTAAACTAGGCGAGACGCATCGTCGTCGTCAAGTGGCGAATTCAATAGAATATATTGAAACTACCAATAAAAGTTTTTTTTTTTTGTTAATATAAAACAGCTTTTTTTTCGTTTTCCTAAATTTTAGGACATATTTTTTGACAGCGATCAGTGGAATTGTTTAAATTGTAAAAGTGATCTGTGATTGCAAAAAGTTAAAGAAACCCTAGTCTAGACTGATGGTAAACGAATCTATCAATAGAATCGTTTAGCGTTTGCATGAGAAAAACAAGACACCTGTCGTCGCCATCTTGTTTTATTAGTCGTTAAGATAGTGATACTATCAATAGATTCGTCCACGCCTAGTTAAAGAGGGCTAAAACAGGGCTAAAGAGTTAGAAAAAATATAATACAGTTTTGCGAATTTCCTCGTTTGGCTTTTTGAGTTTCAACTTAAAAAAAGAGAACTTTTTATGCAACTTAGAATGGCAAACTGACGGCCCACCTGATGGAAAGTGGTAACTGTTGCCTATAGACGTATGCAGTACCATGGACATAACAGAGTATACTGTTTCGCCCATGATACCCCTATGCATTGCCATTCCTGAGGACTCAGATGTTATTCCTCTGTACCCTGTAAATTCACTGCCATATCCTTTAAACCGAAACACACCTATGCAAACACAACTGCTTCACGGTAGAAACACGAATACGACAGAGGTACCCAAGCAAACGACTTTTGTACAAAATCTCCCTCTAGTATAATCGAATATTTCACCATAATATACATACCAATATTATAAAGCTTCTAAGTATTAATATTGCAATAACTTAAAAGTTCAAAATTTGTAATTGTGTCAGATTAATTCTAGAATTACAATTTACGACATTATAACAAACATTACCCTTCTTTATTTGACGTTCGGCTAAAAAGCAACAAGTCCAACAAGACTTGTATGTAGCCAAGCAACTGATGAGAAAGCCTATGCAAATAAAACCCGTAGGTATGAAGCCATTAGCAAACAGCATATAATATCCGAACAATGACAGAAGTGCCTTAATTTGCGACAGAGCCGGCGGATCGGCGGCTGATTAAAAATGTTCGCTGTTTGTTCATAAACTTTTTGTTTAAACAGCCCGCGCTTGAGGACTTAGAACATAATTAAACGTAGATTAACCAACGAACTGAGCAAGGATTAGCTGACATGGTAACCGCTAAGTTTAAAATGTTTATTATACCTATGTAGGTACTTAAGGCGCGTCATTCCATTTTTACTCATAATTACAAATTATAAATAAAAATGTAATATGTAATTCCTGATTTATGTTAATAGTAATTAACGTTAAAAGCGTTCATATTGAAGCTTACTTAATTATAGTAACGTAGCAATTATAGTCAATTTTAATAGAATTTATTGAAAATGTAAACAAACGAACAATTTACGCGGCAATAAGATAGTCTAACGATATTTAATAATAGTACAAATAAAATATCGATTAATCAATGGAATGTTTCGATTTGTTCGACTTTATATCCTTAGCTTTAATATAGCTAGGGATATAAACTCACCAAACCCACCACCCTCCGCATTTCCTCACAGAACTACCAGTTCTGGCCAGAGGATGGCCATACACTGTTGATGAGATTCAGATTAGGGTTAAAAAGTTTGTACCAAATTTAAATTGGATTCCTTAAAGAGAGATGTAAAAAAGTGTTTATATAAGTCGGTATAATGTGGGCCGCAGCTTAGATGCAATATTGCGTTGAATCTGCGACCCAAACAGATTTTATAATCACTTACCATTATGTGGCTATGGCGATAATCTTATCTTGCCATTATAAAAAAAAAAAAATTATACAAAGTATCGCGTATCAAAATTGAAAACTCGTGTTTTTAACCAAAACGAGTTTTTCAGTGTTGCAAGTAAATGGATTTAAAAATTTCCGGCTAAAGTGTTTTATTACAAAAATAAAATGCCGCTTACACTGTCGATATACGCTAGCGAGGAACCAGTGAGCGATGATAGGTGAGGATAATGAAGAATGACAGGTCAGTTGACTTATCGTGATTAATTCACTAGGAAAAGACCACGATAGTTTCCAGGAAGATCACGCATAGGTCGATCTAACAAGATATACACAGTAATAGGGTTAACGACCCTATTACTGTCCCTGATGATAACAATCCTTTTTTCCTTTCTAAATAAGATAGATTTTTAAAATTTTAATTAAGAACAATTTTTTTTTCTATTTTTAAATGAATTTCCTGAACTGATTTCGGCCTAGGTGTTCCGGATTATTCCTCCAGATGTACATTATATAGTTCTGCCTAACACTGGTACAAGGCAACTGGTGAAATTGTATACCTAGTACTTATGTAAATATGTAATCTATAAAAAAAATAACTGTTAAAGACAAATTTACGAACCTTGGAACGCAGCCTCGAAGCGCACCGGCTCCTGCGTGGGCGCACGCGACGCAGCCGCGGCGAGCAGCGCGGCGAACAGCGCGGCGAGCGGCGCGACCCGCGGCGCGACCATCGCAACACTACGACATGCCATCTCCGGCCATACTCGGGCTGGCCCACGCTTGGTCTGTCAACGAAGAAAACTAAATTAATAATTGAGTTTTTAGTTTTTTAGTATTTCACGCAAGCATATTGTTATTTATATGTATTTATTCGTTTATATATGTAATTTTAGTATGTATGTATATCAATAATTACTAGTACCGCATTCGAGTATTCTTATACTTTCCTATGGTTGACTGGGAGAGAATGCTTTTAGCATTAAGTACACCATGTACACATATATGTACTAATGAATAAATAAATATTGATTTAAACTGATGAAATACTGGTAAGGGTTGATAGATAAGAACTTATAATAAGTTTGTTTATCATAATTAATTTACCAGGGTGCTGCATATTACAAATTTTAAAAAATTTGACAGGTTTAGGTCACGTGATTACAAATTAGCTGGTCTTAGTTATGATTTTAGCTCAATTTAATTTGTAAAACAACTAGGTCATAAGCGGTCTTTATATACCCCCAAGTTAATCAACCACGACGGTTTCCAGAGGGACTTCACAGAGGTCGACTTGACAGGGTATATTAGGTACTAGCAATAGAATTATTAAAACCCATTACATATTTTTATGAAATTTAATAGATTTTAACTATAATTTGCATTTATGATTTTCAAATTTTTTTACTATACTTATATAAAAGAATACCTATTGCTTTATTTTCTTTCAGTAAAGTCTGCGAAAGTACAGGCCTCAATGTTAATTTATTATACTTTTCCTCCATTTCCGTCCGTTTCTCCATTATATGGATGATATAATGTTTTATATAATATACATTATATCATCCATTATGTAGGCGTATAATAATCAAAAGGAGACCGATAAACGTTAAAATCCTTTATTTTGCATGGATTTGACGTGGATGAGTGCCTATTGACCGCGAATATTTAATAAATACTCGCACTTAAATATTAATTTTGCAATTCATTACCTAGCAACGTGATTAGGTAACTACGGTGGGGTAAATGTATACAACACTTATATATACCTATCTAGCTACCATGAATGGGGCTATTTTATGTCGCTCTATAGTTTTATGTCTTGACCTTTCCACTCGTCTCTACGAAAACACCAGTGGAAGCCATAACACGTCGGGTTCCTCTGACCCTTTTCTTAAATCGTCTGAATCGGGTAGATACAGTTACTTTTTATTTTGCTCACCGATTGCCCGTCCCTACGTGACGCCTTGTGTTTGATGACGGTCACATCGCGTCCTAAATGATTTTTACACGAGAACTTTCTTCGAAAAGTTCTGTGGAAAATAAATCAGTAATAATACAATTGCGAAATTTTGTAGTCTCCATTAATAACTATATATATTTATTTAATACGAAAATGGTAATTAAATAGTCCAATGCAACGACTATAATTAAAAAGTAATGAAGTTATTAAAAATGGATTTATCTAAGTAGTGTACAAATGTCATTTAGATTTACCAAAAAGTGTTTGTACAAAAGTCGTTTGCTTGAGCACCTTTGTCCCATTCCTATTTCAATCGTAAAATAATTGTGTTTGCATGATTGTGTTACAGTTTGAAGGGTGAGATATGACAGTGAATTTACAGGATACAGACGAATACTATCTGAGTCCTCAGGAATAGCAACGCAGAATATCATGGGCGAAACAGTATACTTTGTTATATCCATGGTACTGCTCATGTCTATAAGCGATGGTTGCCACTTTTCATCAGGTGGGCCGTCAGCTAGTTTTCCATTCTAAGTTAAATAAAAAAAAGGGTAAAGGGTGCTAATCAGCGTCATTTTCAGATTATATTTACACTGTCTTTATAATGTAACACTTTTTATATCATTCCCCATTTACATTATTTCAAATAATAATTATAATGTCTTTAAATCCAGGTATTTTGATGAAAAATATCTTTAATTTGAAATTGGTGAACATAATTTTTGTGTCAGGTTGTCAACATCCATCTTATTAATGTCAGCAATTAAAATAACTGGAGGGTTCCTTCCTTTCTATCTGTTGCGCTCTCTACAAGAGTGTGAAGTAATTTAAACAGGGAGTTGCCATTTGGTTGAACGTCTGAAGTTTCATAAAGATTAACTGTTTACAATCTATTTTAAGGTTCCGTACTGTAAAGGTATTAAGCTATCGTTATTACGCTATATCACTAGCACTATACTAGGTACTTAAAATTTGGTATTTGGTATTAAGTATTTTTAATAAATAATTATAAAAATATAAAATTATTTTCAGATTATTCCTGTATGAGACATATATAAAAATGGTTTTCATATATATTTTATACTTACTCAATAAAAAAAAAATACAGTTTTGGTGGGCATTTATAAACATTAACAGAATTAATTACATTAGATATTAACTGTCCGCTGTTAAACATAGGTCTCGCCCATAAGAGAAACTTTGCCAGTGGTTATCATGCTTGACTGGCAGATTGATAACCGTAATGACGATGTTTTAACAGGGATACTGCTGTCCATTATTCAGTCATTAAAAATAACAGTATACATACATAGAAAATATTAATGAAACATGAGGTGAAAAAGTAGGCGTAAAAAGGCGTATTTTTATTATTTCCGTAGTAGCTACGCAGTAAAAGTATAGGTAAAATGTAATAAAAAATGAATTTGTAATCGAATAACAGTAAATAAAATCGTATCAATTTGAAGAACGTGTGCATTTTTGATAATTGGATAGAAATTAAAAATGTCGTCTGACAACACTACGGCGTTCTGTCAAAATTGAAAATATTCAAAATATCAAAACAATAATAAAACTTGCAATACATAATGTACTTATTTTTAATCTGAAATTCGAGATATTATTATGGAATTACATTAAAAACGATAATTGTATTGTGGATGATTATCATATTTTTCAAATATGAATTGTGATTAAAGGTTTAATGGAATTTCAATTTGAACATGTTCCGGTTACGTCGACAGTTGATAGCGTTGTTTTTCGCATTTTTCCTCGACAAAGTGCGGTTACTAGACAATGGGTTGGCTCGAACACCTCCCATGGGGTGGATGTCGTGGGGCTATTACATGTGCGGCGATAAATGTGACGACAAACCGGAAAAATGCCTCGAGTATGTTTATAACCTCAAATATATTTGTTTACAAACAGTACAATCTATTCTGTTGACTTTTTTACATATTCGCCCCATCTTCAAATAGGGTAGGCAATGATTGTTTTACCGTACAGTCTAGTTCCATTTCTGTTCTATTCAAAATCAATTTTTATTTTATCACAACACTTGTTAATTCTTCTTGTTGTGGTAGAATTCTTGTTGTAGATTCAAATAAAAGTATATCCCAATTTAAGTTTTATAGAATTACTGTTTCTCATAGCTTTGGCTGCATAAATCAGTATATTAAGTATGCTATGTATTGTGATATGACCTACCTGTGTACAAGATCTCATTTATTTTTATTCAGAGTAGTGACAGTTTTTTTTTACAATTTTATAATATATTTTAATAATAAAATAATTGAACAAACAACTATACTATTCACATTATAAGCATTCATATTTAATATATTCACCTATTTTAGCATGATTGATTACATCCAAACCTCTACGAAATTCACATTTACAATATTCATAGGCTTTAGTGAATATAATCAACTCATATTAAATAATTTAAACCACAATATTAATTAAAATCTATTGATAATGAGAATGTTTGATTAATGTTTTCTCTGCCATATTTTTTTGTAATGGGTGATAATGGACTGGTAACCCCGCCTGTGCTATCGGGATACGCTGGAGGGGCACCAGTGAGGGATGATAGGTGAGCATGAAGCAGGTCAGTTGGCCTATCGTGACGAATTCAACAAGAATTGTTAACGATGGTTTCCAGAGGGAACCACCTGGAGGTCGACCTGATAAGGCATATTACTAGCAATGGGGCTGGCAAACTCCATTGCTAACAATCCCTTTCCCCCCTCTCTGCCATATTAATTAGGAGTATTGCTTTTATTTTTGAGAAATCATTATACTAATCTAAATGTATACCTAATTAAATTATATTCCACCAGTTATTTTTTTTTATTTTAAAACTAAACTACTGAATAAATTAAAAAAAAATCTATGTAACCAATCTATAAGTTCATCCTTTCGATTTAAAAAAAATCTAAATCTATTTACAACTGATGGAGTTATGAGGTAACAAACATTAAAAAACATGTAACTAAAATATGAACCTCTTTTTTTTAAGTTGGTATGAAGTTTTTTAAGTTGGTTTTTAAATTTGTAAAGAATTATTCTTGTAATCAAGAACTACTTATCCACAGCTTTCTCCATATGATTTTGGATTAAATAGATATAGAAATGACATATTTTGTGGTGTATTGTATGTTAAAATTCTTAAGAACAGAGGTGTTATACCTTCATACCCTATAATTATTATATATCATCTGTTTCAAATTGAGTTGTGCTAGCATAGCTATAGTCTATTTCGATTATTAGAACTTATGAAAAAGTAACCAATTGTTGTTGAAATTATCACAGAATTACTCTCTAAATTAAATTAATAACAAATTGATACATTGAATTAATTATTAGATATTTTATTCAAGTCAATTAATTATTTGTTTACATTTTCATTAAATTGAAACAGGCCATATATTACAACAGAAACACATGAAAATAAATGTTTTTTTTTTTTGCAATAAATGCGGTATACAAAGGGACATAAAAGTATGTAAAATACATAATGGCAGTATAGTATTATAATACATAAAGTACATAAGTGAAAGAACATACCCATATAGGCAACATTTAAATATAATGTTGCTAGTAAAATATTCGTTCTTTCTAGTGAACAGCTTATATTGTCAGTGGTGGACACATTCTACAAAGAAGGTTACCAAGAAGCGGGCTTTGAGTATATCATCATAGACGATTGTTGGTCAGAGAAAAAACGTGATGAATATGGAAGACTCGTTCCAGATAAAAAGAGGTTTCCAAGAGGGATGAAATTCATAGCTGATTATGTTGGTACATCTTTTAAATTACTTTATTGTGTTTCCTATGAGTAGCCTAATGTCTAGACAGACACAATGTATCCTGAATTGTCACTTAAACGATCAAGATATGTCAAAAATTTCAAACCACTGTTTATTCTTTATACTTTAATAGTAGTAATTTTATCCCCGTATTAATAATGTCAACAAAGCTTTTATAAATCAATTCTTGCGACTACTGCACCAAATTGGATACAGGTTTCACAGTGGTTTTTGAAAGTCTCAAAAAATTCAAATCTGATATAAATTTCATATCGATACGTAGTCTGTTTCTACTTTTTTTCTACTTCTGTAATCTATGTGTGCGAAGCGGCGGGCAAAAAGCTAGTTTTGAATAAAAATCTATTTTAATTGTCCGTTAAATTAGTTATTTTCACAGCATAATGTACATATCCGCCGTTATCCTTCCAGATCCACGCACGTGGCTTGAAATTTGGTATGTATACCAATATAGCTACCACAACATGCATGAGGTACCCAGGCTCGAGAGGCCACTTCAGCACCGACGCCAAGACCTTCGCCGAGTGGGGTGTGGACTATCTAAAGGTTGATGGGTGCTTCGTTGAAGAGGACTACCTCAATATAGGTTAGAGTTGGTGGCCATTTTGTATATACAGATTGTATTAAAAATCATAATATCCTTTTTAAACGACTTTCAAAAAGGAGGTTCCTAATTTCGCCATATTTTTCTGTGCACGTGTGCGTTTGTGCTAACAGCGTGAGCGTGTGTGCGTGTGTGTGTGTGCGTGTGTGTGTGTGTGCGTGTGTGTGTGTGCGTGTGTGTGTGTGCGTGTGTGTGTGTGCGTGTGCGTTTGTATGTTCGTGCGTGCGTACGGGCGAGCGTGCGTTCGTGCGTGGGTGCGTGCGTCCGTGCGTTTCTATATCTTATTTGTGTTATTAAAGACAGTTTAATATTTTTGACCTAACAATATAAACTATTTTTGTGTATTTTGACAAAATTCATATTGAACTATCTGCAAACAGTCTAGATCTATCCAGCCTAGACAAAGCACAAACGAATTTATTTATAGAATCATTACCGTTATCGTTAGCGAGCCCATGAGAAAAAACGAGATGACGGTATGCGCTTCCTTGTTCTATCTCATACAATCGTTGACCGAAGCGATTCTGTCGATGGATTTGTTTATAAACTATTTACAGTTGACGAAAACATTATGTTTTTGATACGTAGTTATCTAATTAGAGTTGGCAAAGAATAATTATGTTTATAAAACAATTTCAGCGTATATCAAATTGGGTCAGTATTTGAACGAAACTGGCAAACCGATGGTGTACTCGTGTAGTTGGCCTTACTATATAGAATACATACATAATAAGAAGGTAAATTATTATGATTAAATAAATAATTGTATTAGATAATATGTCTGTAGATGTGGGCTTGATGATTGTATATATAGATCTAGAAGGAGTGAGAGAAAGAAAGATTTAGTACGAGATTGTATAATGAATAATATTTACAGTAAATTATTCCAGATATAATAAGTCGCGATACAAAATATTGTTTGATAAAATTGCTAAGACAAGAAGATTGTCAAGAACGTCACTGTTAATTTTTCTGCAACTACGTAGGTTTTTTTTGATGGGTGAAAATGGTATGGTAGCCCACGCTAACGGGATACGCTGGCGGAGCACCAGTGAAGGGTGATAGATGAGAATGAAAACAGGCCAGTTAGCCCATCATGATGAATTCATCAGGAATTGACCATGATAGTTTCCAAGGAGAACCGCGAGGAGGTCGACCTGGTTGGGTATATTGCTAGCAATGGGATTCTCAGTCTCCATTACTAACAATCCCTTTCCCCTCAACCATCGTGGTTAATTTTAGTGAAATTCGTCACGATGGGCCAACTGACCTGCTTTCAACCTCACCTATCACCACTTACTGGTGCTCCGCCAGCATATACAGATGGCACAGGCGGGGTTACTAACATATTCCATTATCACCCACAAAAATGCATTTACTTTTAGTCCATAGCTTAGCACAGTGACTTAGTGGGTGTCACCGTGTATTCTGTGATGTCCATGGTACTCCTCATGCTCATGTCTATAGGCGATGGTTACCACTTTATATCAGGTGAGCCGTGAACTGGATTGCTATTAAGTTTAGCTTCGGCAACACGCATGTGACATAGTGTTTCAGGCATCCATATGCTACATGTGACATAGTGTTTCAGGCGTCCATACTACGTAGGTTTGAAAGAGATTGGTTGCCTACATGCCCACTTTTATAAATGCTATCTGCGCTATTGATATACGCTGGCAAATTACCGGTGGAGGATTAAGCTTTTTTTAATGGATGATAATGGAATGGTAACCCCGCTTGCGCTATCAATACGAGTATACACTGGCGGAACACCAGTGAGGGATGAAAGGTGAGAATGAAACGGGTCAGTTAGCCTATTGTGTCGAATTTAATAGTAAAGTCACTTAATATTAATAAAAGTTTTTTTTTTCTAAAGTAAGGGACTTTAATTTTAGTAAAAAGTTAATAGATTTTTTTTTCGCAGGCCGACTATGATTCAGTCGCCAGATACTGCAATTTATGGCGTAATTACCACGATGTGGTCCTCTCTTGGTCCGCTGTAAAGGCCATCATCGACCATTACGAGAAGGAATACCCCATCCTGGAGCAGTACCACGGTCCCGGACACTGGAATGACCCTGATATGGTAAATTTCAGAACAATTCATATGAAGTACTAGCTTTTGCCTGCGACTTCGTTCGCGGGACGGTAAGGAAATCCTGGAAACTTACATGTGTTATAATATAAAACTTTACACGTGTATCTAGTTTACGCAGTCCCTGCGGACAGAAAGTTCCGTGAACAAGTTTCCATGGAAGAAAATTAATATTATTACAAACATGAAATCGACAGTAATGCCAGGGGATACAAAATCAGGGCTAATCTAACAGGAAACCAATTAAAGTTACCTTGTTAAACCAAAGAAATTTATGTCTAAAAACGATTTTACAAACGCTTTCAAACATTCATTGGATTTCTATTGGGAATTTTATAATGTTACATCAAAAATTTAAGATGAAAGGAAAATTTTTAGAGTGTTTTTCGATGCAGTCGGCTATTACGTCAACGAGAAGTTACAAGTAAGGGACAATATGATAGGTCACGATGGGCCAGCCGACCTGCCTGTCCTATTGCTAGCAATGAGGTTACATTGCTAGCAATAGGGCAAACAGGTCGTCATCAGGTCGATCCCTACGCGGTTCCTCTGGAAACCATCGTAGTTAATTCCTGATGAATTCGCCATGATGGGCTGGCTGGCTTACATTAATCTTTACCTATTATCCTTCACTGGTGCTGTTCCAGCGTATACCGATAGCACAAGTGGGGCTACCACCCCGGGGGTAGTGCTAATATACCGGCGCGTCCCCCGAGTGGTAGGGTGAGCACGCCAGCCTATCTTGAGAGAGGAGACCTGCTCTTACCATCAGGGGGCGAGTCGCTGCTGTCGGAGATGTGGTGAGTGCGAAAGCGAACCCATCTTTCCGATATATGGCACCTCGAGGGTATATCGTCTGGTTTTTGGTGGGTACACTCCTACCTTACGGGGGATTCCCACAGTACCCATTCAACTCCCACAAGGTGTATGGGTCTGCATAAAGCATTTTCCAGGCGTTAAAGTGGGGCTACCATTTTAACTCCCATTAACTGTCCACTGCTGGACATAAGCCTCCAATTGGGGGGGTTTTGCCAGTGGTTGCCAAGCTTAGCAAGCGGGTTGGCAACTGCAGTTAGTGAGGGGATTGTTAGTAATGCGGACTACCAATTTCATTGTTAGTATCCTGTCACATGGTCGCTCCTGGAAACCATCGTGCTGAGTTCCAGGTGTATTCATCACACCATTGTGATACTACTAGCCTCTACTTCTTTCTTTCTCACCTATCATCCCTCACTGGTGTCCCGCCAGTTAGCCAGCCAGCGTATACCGTTAGTGCAGGCGGGTTTTTTTTTTGATGGGTGAAAATGGTATGGTAACCCCGCCTGCGCTAGCGGGATACGCTGGCGAAGCACCTGTGAAGGGTGATAGATGAGAATGAAAACAGGCCAGTTAGCCCATCATGATGAATTCATCTGGAATTAACCATGATAGTTTCCAGGAAGAACCGCGAGGAGGTCGACCTGGTTGGGTATATTGCTAGCAATAGGATTCTCAGTCTCCATTACTAACAATCCCTTTCCCCCCGCGCAGGCGGGGTTACCATTCCATCATCATCCATTAAGAAAAATTGCAGTTAGTCTTTGGTAATGTTTTAAGAAGGACGCTGCTACATCCATCGACCAATAAATACACTTAATCGCCTCTTACGACACCCACGGAAAGGAACGGTTGGTCCTTTCTATACTAGGACCACATGGCTTTCGATCAATCTATTATCATACATTAAAAAATACCTTTACCGCTAATATTTTTTTCTTATTTGCAGCTGATATTCGGCACAGGAACACTGTCAAACAGCCAAAGTCGAGTGCACTTGGCCGTATACGCCATGTGGTCGGCGCCTCTTTTACTGAGCTGTGATATGACTAAAGTCAGACCATACGAAAAGAAGTTACTACAGAACATGGAGTTAATGGCTATAGCGAAAGACCCTTTGGGGCTGATGGCCAGGCCCTATAAGGTATGAGTACTTCAAGTTCATTATTGTTACAAAGTTGTATATTTTGATGGATGATAATGGAGTGGTAACCCCGCCTGCGCGGGGGGAAAGGGATTGTTAGTAATGGAGACTGAGAATCCCATTGCGAGCAATATACCCAACCAGGTCGACCTCCTCGCGGTTCTTCCTGGAAACTATCATGGTTAATTCCTGATGTATTCATCATGATGTGCTAACTGGCCTGTTTTCATTCTCATCTATCACCCTTCACTGGTGCTCCGCCAGCGTATCCCGTTAGCGCAGGCGGGGTTACTATACCTTTTTCACCCATAAAAAAAACCCCTAGGAGTAGGCTTTTGTTCAGCAGTGGACAGTTAACAGCTGATATGCTGATGGAACATCTAAAAACAGCTGTAAAAATGTACGAATTTATTTCTCTTTCAGTTGGCGAACTCTGTAACTTTATGGGTGAAACGCCACCTGCCGATGAAGGGTGATATGTATCATTCCTTCTCTTTCGCGTTCGTTAACGTGCACGAAGAGAGTCGCGCCGTCTCTTTCACGCCGCGTCGTTATGGGCTCAATTCGACAGACGGTTATACGATTATGGTGAGTTTCGTTCAAATTAAGAGCGATCATACTTTAGCTTAACGTATTGTGGCAATGTTTAAAGATATTTGTATTATATTATATTTTAACATTATATTTTATATATCTATCTAGTTGTGTGTATTTGTCAATTTAAAAAAAAAAACATTTTTCAAATTTTCTGATTGATTATTTAAAAAGTATTCTGTTAGCGAATGTTAATGCTATTATAAACATTGCACCTACTTCTTTTCCATTTTTTTTTATGTAACTTAGAAAGGCAATCAAGCTGACGGCCCACCTGATGGAAAGTGGTAACCGTCGCCTATAGACATGAGCAGTACCATGGACATAACAGAGTATACTGTTACGCCCACCATACCCCCCATGCGTTACCATTCCAGAGTCAGGTGTTATTCCTCTGTACTCTGTAAATTCACTGCCATGTCTCACCCTTCAAGCCGAAACACAGCCATGCGAACAGAACTGTTTTACAGTAAAAACACGAATGGAACAGAGGTTCCCAAACGACTTTTGTACAAAGTCTCCCTCTGGTACCTACTTTATTTAGGCTTCGTATTTTTCAATAACCATTTTTATCATAAAATCCAAATATTTCAGTAATAGCTTTATTAGAATACTTGCTTTTACCCGCAACTTTGTCCGCGTGACCGGTATTAGTTCATTGACCGGGATTAAAAGTATCCTATATCGTTCTCCATCCCATGTATGTGTATACCAAATTTCATAATGATTGGTTAAGCCGTTAAGGCGGTATTAGGTAACAAACAAACAAACTTACTTTCACATTTATAATATTAAAGATTATTGTATGTTCTTAAGCTCTACATAATAATTTGGAATTTATTAGTAAATGTTTTTACACGATAAAAGAATTTGTAAGTCTGAATGGTAGATTAGACTAAGAATGCACTCTATGTAATAATATTAATAATATGACATGTACAATTTTAATGCTTTATAACCTATAATATCGAATATTTTTAAATGTTGACATAATTAACTAATTCAATGTAACAATTAATATGTATTTACAATAATTATTTGGACATACGTAATTGATATTTTTTTACTTTAAAATGTTAGCCACTAAAAACTAACTAACATGTGCTAAGACAAAATTTGCATTCCTTTAGATAAGGCGAAATGTGTAGCTCGGTTACCATTTAAGATCTTTGTACCACATGTCGAGCAAATAAATTATTATTATTATTATTATAATTAATAATTAAAAACTATTAGAAAAAATTTGAAGCAAAACATAAAGTAGTAATATAGTAACACAGGGGGCAAACGAGCATGCGGCTCTCCTGATGATAAGTGACTACCGCCGCCCATGATCACCTAAAACACCGACGGCATTGCAGGTGTGCTGCCGGCTTTTTAAAAAGGAATATGCTCTTTTCTTGAAGATTATGATGTCGTATCGGTTCGGAAATAGTGCTGCTGAAAGTTGATTCCAAATAGTGGTTGTGTGTGGAAGAAAGTGCTTTGAAAAACTTATGTCACTTTTAGTACTTTTTTTTTTCAGGATGTATTCACCAAAGACTTCATAAGGAATGTCACGCTGAATGATAGTATAGACGTCGAATTGCCACCTGAAGGTAAGTGGTACGCTCACATCAACTATGTTTTTTTATGGGTAAAAATTGAATGGTAACCCCACATGTTCTATGGGCTTACGCTGGCAGGTCACCAGTAAGAGATAATAGGTCAGGATCGAAACAAGTAAGGTAACCCATCGTGATGAATTCAAGAATCTACCACGATAGTGGCCGTGTCCACCCCAGAATAAGGAGCTGAGTTTTCAGCTATAAGTAAAGACAGGTAGAAGAGTGCATATGCTACTATTTCAAGCCCCCCCCCCCCCCCCAAATTATGCCAATGGTGAGAGATGATAAGTGACGATAAAAGCAAAAAGACTATCATGAAATGTTTTTCGAAATTTCGTTGCTGAACGAAACAAAAATTTGATGTTAAAGTTACATAATGCATGCTGTTTAAGAATATTAAAAATGTTAAAATATCTCTGTATTATAGTAGATTTTATAACGAACGAAATATTAAGCTCCATTTATTGCATCGATTTCCAGGCCAGTCCCTATTATAATTTTTTTTGTTCCATCATTCAAATTTAAAACATCATACCATAGACAGTCTTTAGGAATGTTCAATGATCTTCTGTTATATCCATGGTGCTGTTTATGCCTTTATGCAACAGTTACCACTTTCCATCAGGTTGGCCGTCAGCTTGTTCGTTATTTAAGTTGCAAAAAAAATTGCTATCATATTAAATTGTGAAAGTGTACAATACGGTGCCGCTGTGGTAAATTATTATGTTCGATACCTCCATCGGAACCATAAAATGTAATGTCCATTCCCATAAAAGACCTATTTACTTTATCTAAGATAGTTTACGGAGGTCTCGAACGCTTTTAAATTTTTCTTTATTTTCTATTTTTAGGGCTCCGCAATAATTGTATCTGGCAATTTTTTTTTGTTGATCTAGAATCTACACTTCTACATCTACACTAATATTATAAAGAGGAAAGATTTGTATTTTTGTGTGTATGTTTGTAATGAATAAACTCAAAAACTACTTTGCCGATTGTAAAAATTCTTTCACCATTAGAAAGCTACATTCACCCTGAGTAACATAGGCTATATTTATTGCTAGAAAAGATTAGAGATCCTTACTAAAACTTTAGTAACGTAACTCAAGGTGTAAAAAAATGCTATAAAATATCTTTCGTCGCGTGCGCTGCGGAAACTATTGGTGACAGAACAAAAGTATGTTTTACAATATTGAAGAAAATATCAATAACTATAAAAAACTTCACGATACTGTATGTCCAACTATTATCGTTGTGTCACAATAACCACTTTTTAAAATGTTGTAAAAATGTCCATCCGTGCGAAGCCGGAACGGGCCGCTAGTTTATTTATATACCAGATTTCATTAAAATCCATTCACTCATTTGAACGTGATTGCGTAACAAAAATCCAAATGCAATTTTAATTTTGATTTATATCAGTAATAAGAAATTATTCGTCTAAAGCATTAATTTAAAATAAATACTTTATTTGTGCGAGTCTAACCTCTGACATCTGACAACACGAAACTCAAACCACAGACAAAATAAATTCATCGATAAATTGATTTCAGTTTCAAACAAACCGCAAAACCATGAAAGTCAGATGTAGGTCAGTAATTTAAACTATGTAATACTAGCTTTTATCCCCGACTTCGGCTGCGTGACCGGGATATGTTTACTGACCGGAATAAAAAGTAGCCTATAGCCTTTTCCATTCCATATATACACGTATATATGGAATTTCATAGTGATTGATTAAGCCATTAAGGCGCTTTATTTTTTTATGCAACTCAGAATGGCAAACAAGCTGGAAGCCTATCTTTTTTTTTACAACACAGGGGGCAACGAGCATGCGGCTCACCTGATGGTAAGTGACTACCGCCGCCATCTGATGGAAAATGGTAACCGTTGCCTTTAGACTTGAACAGTACCAGAGTATACTGTGTCGCCCATGATACCTCGCATGAGAACTAAGGTGTAGTGACTCTGTACTATGTAATTTCACTGTCACATCTTGTAACAAACGCCCTTTCACGTTTATAATATTAGTAAAGATTATAAAAAGGGTACATTGTTTTTTTGTTTGAAATAGACAAATTTTAGACACCCTATTGATTACAAAAATTCTTTCAATTATAGAAAGGTGAAATGGGCTGTATTTTATCTACCAACTTCAAAAATGGCGTAGGTTCTCTATTCGATTGTATTTTTTAAACCTATACTATGACTATACTTATCTATACTTGTAATAAATCTGTAGAGAGGTCAATTCTGTACAAGAAATATATTTCCAAAATAATTATCAGGGGGTGGTGATTAGTGATCGAGACTGATGCCAAAAATGCAATCAATAAAATTTTTGTCTGTCTGTCTGTATGTTCGTTATAGAAACAAAAACTACTCGACGGATTTTAACGAAACTTGGTACAATTATTCTTCATACTCCTGGGCAGGTTATAGTATACTTTTCATAACGCTACGATCAATAGGAGCAGAGCAGTGAAGGGAAATGTTAAAAATGTCAACCGTGCGATGCCGGAACGGGCCGTTATTATATAAATAAATATAAATCAAAAACACAAATTTTGCTCTAATTAAAGTTAGGGGGGTTTGGGAACATTTTTTTTTATACCACAAAGGTGGAACGGGGAACGGGTGGCCTGTTCTATGCCGGGACCACACGGCAGTATTGTATATTAGATATATATTACACGATACAGAGGAATAACACCTGAGTTCTCAGGAATGGCAATACATGGGGAGTATCATGGGTGAAACAGTATACTCTGTTATGTCCGTGGTACTGCTCATGTCTATAGGCGACGGTTACCACTTCCCATCAGGTGGGCCGTTAGCTTGTCTACCATTCTAAGTTGTATAAATATAAATATATATAATGTTATTATATGGTAATTTTCTATATAAACTTAATAGCAGTTACGATTTTCTTGGCAAGGCTTATTTCAAAGATAAAACTCTATAAATATCTACTTATATTTATTTCATATAATTCTGTAAAGTACACGGTACAGCAAGTCACGCGATTTTAAAAGGTTGTTGCCGTCTTAAAATGCTAGATGCAATGCATTTTGCTATGGAAAATTTATTTTACATTGCACTCCATTTGTCGATAGATACTCTTTATTGTTTCCTCCATAAGATTACAATAGTAAACTTATTATAAATGTAAACAATTACAAGAAATGATCACAATGGGAAAACAATGGGCGACCTTATCGCTAATGGAATGGTAACCCTACCCACGCTATCGGTATACACCGGCGAGCCCTTAGTGCAGGATGATAGGTTAGGATGAAGCAGCTCAGTTAGCCCATTGTGACGAATTCAACAAGAATTGTTCACGATCGTTTCTAGAGGAAACCACGTGGAGGTCGACCTGATAAGGCATATTGCTAGCAATGGGGCTGGCAAACTCCATTGCTAACAATCCCTTTCCCCCCGGAGAGGAGCATAATAAATAGTTTGATCGGAGAGACGATGAAAATTCTTTTATTTTTAAATGCATATATACCTATATACAATAATATTTTACCAGAGGGAGACTTTGTACAAAAGTCGATTGCTTGGATACCTCTGTCTTATTCGTGTTTCAACCGTGAAGCAGTTGTGTTTGCATGGCTGTGTTTCGGTTTGAAGGGTGGGATATGGCGTGAATTTACTGGGTACAGAGGAATAACATCTGAGTCCTCAGGAATGGCAACGCATGGGGGGTATCATGGGCGAACAGTATACTCTGTTATGTCCATGTTACTGCTCATGTCTATAGGCGACGGTTACCACTTTCCATCAGGTGGGCCGTCAGCTTGTTTGCCATTCTAAGTTGCATTACACATATATACTTGCGCATTTTGAAAAACTCCACTGTTTATGAATAATTAATAAAATATATTTTGTTTGTTTCAGATGTGATTTTATATACACTTTTCCCGTTATAGTGCTATTTATGAATAAGTATTTGATAATATGACAGTATCAATTGTTAACCTTCCTAATCTCCCATAAGGGGAGGTTTTGCCAGTGCATAAGTTGTAGTTGTTTGGACGAAATAAGTAACAACCAACTTGATTATATTATTGATTTTCATATAATGAGAGAATGACAGCAAAAATGAATGTGAGAAGTAAACGTCGCTGTCATGTCTGTATGTCCAGTGCGAAAGATAGAAAGAGGTGAAATATCTATGTACAATTAAATTAACCTACTTGATGGAGAAGAAGGTAATGATGTTGACAAGTGGCTATGAGATGAATATTTACAATATTTATTTACAGACGCCACAAAGTATTTATTTGTACTTAATTATTGTTTAACCTTGGCCGTGTGGTCCCGGCATAGACTAGGCCACGCCTTCCTTACCTGTTAGTGTCGTAAAACTAAGCGAGGGCAAGGGACAGCAGCGTCCCTCTTAAAACATCTCCAAAGCCTAACTGCGCTTGCCAATCCGCCTGCCAACCGTGGCAAGTACTGGCCCAAAGAGGCTTATAAGGCAGTGAACAGTTGAAGGCTGGTATGATGATGATGTGATTGTTTGACCGAATGCGTCAATTACTGCTCAAGCCTTTACAATTGTGATATTAGTGAAGTAATAATATGCATTACTAGTTATTTATCCTCTAATTCGAACATGTGAATTTCAGAAGTAGGCAATCAATGGAATAACTTCTAAATATAGTGCTTTATATTATTCCTAAATTCGTGTATAATATAGTATATATCATATATGTGTAAGTATATTTGTAATTTATATATATTTACTCGTTTATATATGTAATTTTAGTATGTATGTATATCAATAATTAGTAGTACCGCATTCGAGTATTCCGACACTTGCCTATGGTTGACTGGGAGAGAATGCTTTTAGCATTAAGTACGCCATGTACACATATTTGTACTAATGAATAAATAAATAAATAAATAGCGTATTAAGGTAAAGTGTCCACCAAATTTAATTTAGTCTTTCATGAGCACGACGATGGCATAGATAAAGCATATACCAGATTTAAATTCAGAAACGCAACAGTGAAAACAGTATCCATTTTGGTGCAGTACATTTTAACATACTACAATCTATTGTTTTATGTAAACAGTAATTTGTAATACATTATTGTTTTACAAATTATTAACAATTATTGTTTTTGTTTGAAATACCTCTAACTATCCCCATTAGGCATTATAATCCTAAGCTTCTTTATTTTATAAGTAAAATAAATAATTATAAATTAATTGCGTTGTATTATTTTAGTTAATAATTAGCGGTCGTGTTCTATCGACCCGTGCCTTAACGTTATTGACCCATTCCATGTGTCATTCGAATGTCAATCTTACTCGTAAAGAAATACTGATAAAATTCGCATGCTTATTATCGTTGCCCTAAATCAAGCGTATTTCAAATGTGAATATTATTAAATTTGATATTTTATTGTTATTACCGACCGTTTGGTGCCATTTAATGGGAGAGACGCCCACAGATAAAATATAATGCTACATATGTTTTTGTTTAGTGATGCAGAATTTTTTTATAAAAACACGTATGTTCTTATATTATACTAGCTGACCCCGTAAACGTTGTTTTACCACTTATTGCGAAATATAAAAATCGCAATTAAAATACAGGACTTGATCGTAAAACGATGAAAATTTAAAGTTGTATGTATTTTTCAATGCTAAATCATAATAAAATAAAAATGAAAAAAAAATATTTTAGGGAGGGTCACCCTTATCATTGACGGGTATGAAAAATAGATGTTGGTTGATTCTCAGACCTACCCAATATGCACACAATATTTCATAAAAATCGGTAAAGCCGTTTCGGAGGAGTTTGATAACAAACACCGTGACACGAGAATTTTATATATAAGATTATATTAAATTTATTATTTAAAACAAATGACATGATTGTGGTATTAATTGTAGCCTATGGAAAGTAACAGCACCACGGATAGCACAGAATAGGTACACTGTGACGCCTATCATCATCATCTCAGCCATTATATAATATATAAGGACCGGTCTTAAGCCACTTGCATCAAATGACTCCCTGCAATGCATGATGTCCATATTATCTTCAAAATATACAAGGAGATAAAGGAGGGAGAGAAAAATTACAAGAAAAATAAACCTATTTCTTGTGTTTTATGTCTGATATTATGTTTTTTATGCCACTGAGCTGGCAAATAAGCTTCACTTGATGGTAGTGCAAGCAAGGGTCACTTGATGGTAAGTGGTTCCCATGACATTACGCGTGCATTGCCTACCCTTTAGAAACCTCTACCCCTTTTTTAAGAATCCCTTAATGTAGCCTCTGTAGTTACGTGTGATAATAGTAACCCATACTGTGATATTAGTATACGCTATGAAGGGTGGGATATGGCATGAATTTACAGAGTACAGAGGAATAACACCTGAGTCCTCAGGAATGGCAACGCATGGGGGGTATCATGGGTGAAACAGTATACTCTGTTATGTCCATGGTACTGCTCATGTCTATAGGCGACGGTTACCACTTTCCATCAGGTGGGCCGTCAGCTTGTTTGCCATTCTAAGTTGTATAAAAAAAAAACGCTGACTGGGTACCAGTAACACCAGGTAGCAGTAATAGGTCAATCAGATCAGTTGGCCCATCGTGAGAATATCATCAAGAATTATCCACGATGTTTTCCTGTGGGGATACGTGATGGTTGACCTGACAGCGTATATACAATACACAATATAAATATAATATACACATAAGAAATGCACATATAATACATAAACCATATATATATATATATATATATATATTGCTAGCAATCTGCTATTCTTCATTACTAACATTCCTTGTACCCTCATCTCTTGTGTTATTCCTCTAGACAATAGTGTTTTTTTAATAGGTGAAATTTTTTTTAATGATAAACCCGCCTGCGCTATCGGTATACACAAGTGAGTGATGATAGGTGAGGATTAAAGCAGGTCAATTAGCCCATCCTGACGAATGTACTGAATTACGAATGACTAGAATTAACCACGATAATTTCCAAGGGGAACCGCGTAGTCGACCTGATAAAGTATATTGCTAACAGTGTGGCAGAGTGGGAGGGAAGGGATTGTTAATAATGGGGTCTAATTGACCCATTGCTAGCAATACACCCTATCAGGTCGACCTCCACGCGGTTCCTCCTGAAAACTATCGTGGTTAATTCTAGTGGAATTCGTCACGATGGGCTAACTGACTTGTTTTTGTTTTCATCCTTCACTAGTGCCCCGCCAGCGTATACCGATAGCGCGGGCGGAGTTACCATTCCATTATCACCTATAGAAAAAAAACTGTGGCATTTAGACCCCATTACTAACAATCCTTCCCCCTCCCCCTCCCCAGTACTGTGGTTTTACACTTTCGTAACCGTTTAATTAAATTAAGAGCGGTACCCACAACACAAAGCAAGTTTAAACCTACCAGCACAGCACTACTGTTACTTTTGTTAAATCAAATAAGCATTTTAGTCACGTGACGCCTCTGTCACGTCCCACATACGTTTTTACGCTCACAATGGCTTGAATAAAAATTAGAAAATTATAAACAAGTGCTACAGTGATATTATGAAAGAAAGAAAAAAGATAGGTAAGGTTTTTTTTATCCTCGTATTACGAGTGGCAAATAAGTATTTCTACAGCCGATGGAGTTCAAATAGTATTTATTACAATTAATAATTATCTATTAAGTATAATAAAAGAATATAAGAAATATTTTTTATGCAACTTAGAATGGCAAACAAGCTAACGGCCCACCTGATGACCACGCGTAGACATAAGCAGCACCATGGGCATAACAGAGTATACTGTTTCGCCCATGATACCCCCCATGCATTGCCATTCCTGAGGACAAACCGAAACACAGCCATGCAAACGCACCTGCTTCACGGTAGAAACACAAATGGGACAGAGGTAGTCAAGCAAACGACTTGTGTACAGTTTCCCTCTGGTAAAATATACTAAAATAGCCGCGTAGATCCCGGATAGAATAGGCCACCCCTTCCTTTACCGTGGGAGAGGGCGACTTAATGAGCTTATGGTGAAGGGATGGGCAGCAGCTTGAAACATCACCAAAAGCCAAACTGCAGTTGCCATCCCGCTTGCACAGTAAAAAGAACATGTAATATTGCCTCACTTGATTTCACATTCACATGTGAATTCAGGGTAAATATACCTACCTCTGTAACCCACATATACATTCAGGGAGTCGGTGGGTGCAGGTGACTCAGGACCGTTCGTTATGGTAGTGTATGGAGAAGGCCTATGTTCAGCCATGGACAAATAATGGCTAATATAATAATGACATTTAGGGAAAATTTATTTTCTACTTTAACCCACATATGGATCCAGGTGGTCTACCATGAAATGAAATTCCGAAATTTCGGGCTCCATTTCGTGTTTTTGTTCGTATCAAAATCAACCCAGTAAATGGAGCTTAACATTTCGTTCATCATAAATCCTATTCTAATAGTCCAAAGGAACGATCTTTTAATATTTTTAATAATTTTAAACAACATGTATTATGTAATTTTAACATCAAATTTTTGTTTCGTTCGTCCCCGAAATTTCGGAAAATACTTCATGGTAGGCCCTTAGGATCTTCCATTTTTAACTCACAAATGGATCAGTGGATAATTTTCTCTTCTTTAGGTGACTGTGATATTTTGACATGATTTTTAACGACCTGAATGATACCTCGCGTACAATGATGGTGTTATATGACTTAGTGTGATAATATATAAGTGGTATTACATTTATTATTATTACATAAACATACAATATTATGTCTTCAAATCAATTTCAGTTACCTTTAAATTCTTTTGTTCACCTTATCGATATATTAATATTATATTTAGTTGACGATTAATTACAAACTAAATTAATTTCCTACACGTAGGCATCGCCTAACCACAAAGACAAATGAATTGTAATATAAATTGTGAACGAACGATCATTCCACTAATAGTCAGTGAATTACGAACCGTTCAGTTCATAATGAAGGTGTTAGTTCTTAGTTTAATGGTCGCTGCAATCCTGGTCAAGGATGGCAGTGGATTAGATCTATTTGGTGGGTTAACTAATACATTATCAAATACAGCACAAAAGTTCTTCCAAGGAGACGCACCTAACCGTCAGCCAGATGTCTGCAATCAGGACGTTTATAAACGCTTTCAACTGGCTTTACATGAGTTTTACACGAAACTCAACCTTTTAATCTCAGAAAATAATAGTCACTATGTATTCTCCCCATTGTCTGTGTGGCTTTCGATTATGACTCTTGCCGAAGGCTGTGATCCGGTATACCAGAAAGAACTCTTCGCTGTTCTAAATCTTCCCGAGCAGAAATGTCTCCGCGAGCAGTATTACAACTTTGGTTTGAAACAATTACCTAAAACTGGGGACGACGTCGAAATTGTAAGCAAGAACCTTTTCGTACTCGATGAATATACAAAAGTGGAGCCGAATTGGGCAAAATTCGCGGACGGCAGTTTCCTCGAATTGGCTTTCTCCCCGATCAAAAGTGATCCGAACTTTGCCGCTGAGAATTTACGCCAGCTACTAAAGTTTCATTCGACGCCTATTCTGAACGGTAACTCTGCACTTTTCAATTCTATTGATTTTCAATTTCTCTGGAGGTACACTTTCGCCGAAAGTGAGATTCAAAGCAATGCACCGTTCTACAACGACGCAGGCAAAGAGATCGGAAGGGTTGATCTCATGAGAATGAAGAGGCGGGTGAGGTTAGCTCATTTGCCACATTTGAACGCTAAAGTTCTCGAATTACCCGTCGGACATAATGGCCGATACAAGATGATCATCGTGATGAACGATGATTTGGGACTCTTCAGAAGCTTTATCGGTAGACTACTTACCAAATATTTATACGAAATCTTAGAGAGTTTGAAGGAGAGTATTGTTCCATTAGAGGTAGCGATACCTCGTTTTGATATTAATTTCGAGTTCGATGCGCGGATTGCTCTCGAAAATATGGGAATTAAGGAATTATGGAGCAATCCCAGCGTTACTAGGTAAGTACGAGCATTTTTATTTATTTCTTTATAGGATTCCATATCCAAAATAATGAAGGTAATTAGGAACTAATGGTTTCTTCCATTCACAACGGTGTGAAACTGTTAATGAGAAAATGAATGCTTAATTATACTAAAAATGACACAATGATTAAGATTTTAAGGTAATTAAATAAATTATTTAGGAATGATAACGCATCAGAGGTAACACGAACGTTATAATGTATTCTGCGAGATCTATGGTATTCATGTGTATATGCAACTCAGGAACGAGCGTTCCTTATGGCAGTTACCACAGGGAAATTTTCCAGTAGTTGCCACGTTTGGCAGGCGGATTGGCAACTGTAGTTTGGTTTATGGAGATGTTTTAAGAGGGACACTGTTGCCCATTCCTCAATCATTAAGTTGCCTTAGTCGCCTCTTACGACACCCACGGGAAATAAGGTGTGGCCCATTCTACGTCGGGACTATTTGACAATGTATATATATATATATATATATATATATATATATATATATATATATATATATATATATATATATATATATATATATATATATATATATATATTTATATATTAAAATAACTTTAATGATCAAAAGAAAATATGGTACAAAAAGTGAACTTAATGCTAGTAACATTCTCTACCAATCAACCGTCGGAATTAATTAAAATTGGAATATAAATAGGGTTTTTTAAGGGTGAAAATGGCATGGTAATCCCGCCTGCACTATCGGTATACCTTGGGGGGTACCAGTGAGAGGTGATAGGTGAGGATGAAAAGGCAAATCAGTTAGCCCATCGTGACGAATTCAACGATAAATTAGTCACTATAGTTTCCAGGGGGAACCGCGTGGAGGTCGACCTGATAGGGTATATTTTATATGACAGCATTAGGAACCAACCTCCCCATTACTGACAATCCGTTTCTCCGGATATTAATGGTTAAAAATCTTCATTTGCAGTTACATATCACAACCGCCAGCTTTACCAGGAAGCTACCATCAACGGGTGCTGCTGAAGGTGGGCAACCAGGGTTTAGAAGATTCTGTGGATCGTACCCCAAACACGATTATCGGTGGCATGATAAATGTGGTATCCAATGTAGGAACCGGCGCTGCTTCGGTGATTGGAAGGGAATTTATCGCAAATAAACCGTTTGGCTTCATGTTATTGGATGGGGAGAGCAGCAGTTGTATATTCGCTGGGGCTTATACTGGGCCGACCGTTGTGTAATACTTTCCTATTGAGATACATTATACAAATATATATAATATGCAGGATAAAATTTAGACGATTTTAGTACTTTGTTCATTCTACTTCAACTATGTAATCCTAGTATTTATTGACACTTATTTGTTTTCTGTTAGAGAGATTTTTTATCTTTATTTATTTAGGGACTTTTGACCTTTTAAGCACGTCAGTCCCATCGTACCTTAATCAATTTTAGGCATTATTGGATATATTATATATATATATATATATATATATATATATATATATATATATATATATATATATATATATATAATAACAGATACCTCACGCAAAATCAAATAACATGAACTAAAGGAATGTCATGAAAAAAAATAGCTTCGTTACTTATGCTCAGATGTAGGCCTCAATGCAGGTAGATCTTAAAAACTACATCCAAACATATCATACACCAGGCTCACATCATCGGTCGAGGAGTCTGCTAGAATGGCATGAAACATTCTTATATTTATTAACATTTAAGAGCCGTTAAACTCATTAAATACAAGACAAAGTTTGTGTAAGAAAAATTTCTCTCTCTCTCTCTCTGTGTGTGTGTGTGTGTGTCATGATTTTTATTTGGATTTTCTATACAAATAAAGGTAAATACCGGTCTTTGGTATTAAGTACAATCTCTAATCTATTGATTCTTTGATGTGACTATTTTTTTTTCTTTTTTTTACACGTTTAAAAATACAATCTACACCAATATAAAGAGGAAAGATTTGTATTTTTGTGTGTATGTATGTTTGTAATGAATATACTCAAAAACTACTTTGCCTATTTCAAAAATTCTTCCACCATTAGAAAGCTACATTCACCTTGAGTAACATAGGCTATATTTATTGCTAGAAAAGATTAGGAATCCTTACTAAAACTTTAGTAAGGATTCCTAATCGTAGTAACGTAGTAACGTAACTCAAGGTGTAAAAAAATGCTATAAAATATCTTTCGTCGCGTGCGCTGCGGAAACTATTGGTGATAGAACAAAAGTATATATGTCCAACTGTTATTGTTATGTCACAATAACCACTTTTTAAAATGTTATAGAAATGTCCACCCGTGCGAAACCGGGACGGGCCGCTATTAATTTATAAAATTAAGTGTACTCACAACAAGTTATAATATAAATAGAAGATAGCATAAAGGTTGGTCTATAATTAAATAGACAGCACGAGACACGTCTTGAATACTCGCCTTTGCAAAGGCGGCTAATTACGTTCCAGGCTAGGGTTGCCAACCGTCCAGTTCTTTTAGAACTTGTTCTGGTTTTTGGAATGTCCTAAGGTGTCCAAGATAGTTTTTAAGCAGCGTCCTCACTGTTTAATATATCCTGATAAGGGCATATGTTTTAAAATTCACGCACGTTTAATAATTTTCTAATAATCTTCTAAAAAGTTCGAATAATTTTAATTTAAATAAAATATTATTATTATTATAATTACTTAGATTTTATGTGATCTATTTTCAGTATATATTATTTAATTATTGCTACTCAAGGTTGCGTCGTGTCTTTAAACTAAATTATCCTGGTTTTTCCAACTTCAAATGCTTGTTTTTTATTTTAGGATTGGCAACCCTATTTTAGACTAAAATCTTTTCATCTGAGTGCAGTTAAATTGTGTTTATAATTAATTATATTTACTTAATTAACTAGACTTGATCTTAACAGTCTATTAGATGCTATAAATAGGTACAGACATAATGAAAAGACCGCATCTGCAGTTAGTCGGGTGGTTTTTATTTATTTATTTATTATACACTTTATTGCACCAAGTAAAAAAAAAATAACAATACATACATACATACATATCTGTCATACCTATCTCCATTAGGGTAAGCAGAAACAATGGAACGCCAAATGCTTCGATTCAAACAAACCTCTTTCGCTTCTTCCACATTCATCAATCTTTTCGTACACGCTCGCCGGTTACGCCGGCCACTTTTAATTTGGCCCTTCTTCAGCACGTCGCCTATTTGGTCGACATACGTCCGTCTATATATTAATAAGACGTGATACAAAAGGCGGCCTTATCGCTATGCAATCTCTTCCAGACAACCTTTGGGTAAAGGACATTGAGAAAAAGAGGAAGGGTAGGTGGCGCACTATTATATAAATCGTCGTTGATCCCTAAAATGTGGTTGAGCTAAATGATGACTAGCTAGACTAGCATCCGTCATACTCGCGAACAGTTGTTGTTTGTGGGACGTAGTCTGCTTGTGCTTACTACTTCTCGCTAAATAACAACTTTTCTATTTTATAATTCTTATTTTAAAATTCCTAAGCCAGCGTTAGAGAGGAGGGGAAGGGATTAATGATAATACAGACTACCAGGTCCTTGACAGGTAAGACAGACTGACAGGATAGCCATTGCTAGCAAAATATCCTGTCAGGTGGACCTCCACAGATTCCCCCCTGGAAACCATCATGCTGAATTCCAAGTGTATTATTCATCACGATGGGCTAACTGGCCTACCTATAATCTTTCACTGGTGCCCAGTATATACCGACAGCGCAGGTGGAGTTGCCATTTCATTTATTATTTATAAAAAAAAAAAACAAAAATTAAAAACACATACCACTTATTTAAAAGGCAGGTTATACAAATTCTATTATAATTCATCTAATGTGATTTTTAATGGCCCAGTAATCACACAAGATGGGTCTATCTTCGAACACACTGTGCAGACTGTGCGGGGAGAAATCGGAATCCATGGAACACTTTTTTTTTATACAACTTAGAATGGCAAACAAGCTGACGACCCACCTGATGGAAGTGGTAACCGTCGCCTATAGACATGAGCAGTGCCATGGACATAACAGAGTATACTGTTTCGCCCATGATACAATGCGTTGCCATTCCTGAGGACTTAGGTGTTATTCCTCTGTACCCAATAAATTCACGCCATATCCCACCCTTCAAACCGAAATACAGCCATGCAAACACAACTGCTTCACGGTAGAAACACGAATGGGACAGAGGTACCCAAGCAATCGACTTTTGTACAAAGTCTCCCTCTGGTAAACTTGAAGTGCAACTACGATTCGTTGGCAAGTATGCGTGTGAGTCTACTGGGAACGGCTTATCCAGAACCAGGGGACTACAGATATCTTAAACCGCGGGATATCATTAGGGTAACGCATAGGATCTATGAAATGATGGCATAAGTCAGGGGGAAGCACAAAAGATCCATATGGGACGACGTGCATCGGCTTAGCTGACCCCATATGCGAAAAATAAGATAATCATAGAGTTTAAAATCTAACATAATAATGCTATGTGGTCACCCATCCAAAATTGCTTTACCTTATTGATACCGGTTTAAGACTGAAACTACATTGTTAGTGCCTGTTTTCTATTCCTATTTTAGCTTATCTAATTTATTTAAAGAATCGATCAAAAATATACTATGCGGTCACCCATCCAAAATTGCTTTACCTTTTTGATACCGGTTCAAGGCTGAAACTACATTGTTAGTGCTTGTTTTCTATTACTATTTCAGCTTATCTAGTTTTGTCAAAGAACAAAAGTTCAGAAGTCTGTAACGTGCATTCAAATCGGTGTAGAGCCAGCACAAGCGAATACTAACGAGAGGTGAACTTAGGGTTGTCAAACTAGTATTTTTTATTTATTTATTTCTTTTTTTAATAAAATTACGTACATGAGTAATCTAAAGCTATTGTGCGTGCCAATACTAAATATGATTTTAGGCTTAGATTATATAGATAGAGTGTCTCCATACAAATGCTTCGAGAAAAACGGGTCAACTTTCTCATACAATTTTGCGTGATAAATATTGTAGTTACGGATGATTCCTTTATAATTTCTATATTTATTTTCTCTTATTATTTCTGCATCTTTTTAATGCGTAAATACCTATTTTATTTATTAAATAATACGTCAAGATACATTATATCTATCTATATAATCTAAAGATTTAGGTAATTTAACAATTAGTAATGGGGAGGTTAGTTCCCATCGTTATCGATATACCTTATCAGGTCGACCTACATGCGGTTCCCCCTGGAAACCATCGTGACTAATTTATCGTTAAATTCTTCATAATGAGCTAACTGACCTACCGTTTTCATCCTCACCAATCATCTCTCACTGGTGCCCCGCTAGTGTATACCGATAGCGCAAGCGGGGTTACCATTCCATTATCATCCATAAAAAAAGTAGGTACTACTTTTATCTTGAGAGTTGTGGATAAATGCATAATATATCTATATTCTTCTCTATCCAAAATACTAGATACTTGCATACCCGATTTCATGATAATTAATTCGTCAACTAACAAACTTTCTCATTTATACGTTACATTAAGTAAGGATTTTCCGTGTGGTCCCGGCATAGAATGGGCCACCTTTTCCTTTTCTATGAGGTCGTAAGAGGCGACTAAGGGAACTTAACGGTCCAGGAATGGATAGCAGCATATTTTTTAAAATATCACAAAAGTTGTCAACCTAACTAGTTGTCAACTCGACTGCCAAGCATGGCAATTACTAGCAAAATCCACAAAGGTGGAGGCTTGTGTTCAGCAATGGACAGTTAACTTTTAACTAACCACTGAGATACAGGCTCAGCCTAGTTCGGTGGCTAGTAGATGTAACTAGGTGTGAATTGTTATTAAATAAAGAATTATCATTATAATAATAATAATAATTCATATTCAAAATTAAAGAAAAAATGGTTAAAAAAAAAACTGCTAATATTATGTTTAAGTGAGTAGTATTAAATATTAAATGAATTACCTAAACGATATAACTATCAGATAATTATAGCGAATATCTATCTAGTAAATTCCAAGCTAAGCATAAAGATGACACATCATTAACCGTTAAATAACAAAAGTAGACTAAAACACCGTTTACTATGCATAATTAATATTGCCAAAGATATTGCATAATATAAAAAAAAAAAAAATTTAATGCATTTTTGAAGTACATTTAAAATATTGACAACCCTACTTAGGTCTATGGGGAGAGTCAAACTCAAAGACCGGCATCGGAGAGCTCTCGACAGTCAAATGCAGGCGAAAACTTCAGAATTACAAGTACTAGACAGTACTTACCTCTCTGTCTGTCTGAATTAGGATTTAATCACAGGATACTGAGGTGTAACACCTTAGGTTTAAACACACATGACCTAGTCAGATCGACTTCCATGCGGTCCTTTGAAAA